AAAGCAACAAAACAGTAAAACAAAAAAACTGGATTGATCAAATGTTGGTCACCCACGCGGCGGGTCAAATTCGAATGAGCGTGAAGGTAAATCGGTCAATTAGCTTTCCTTCTCCAGAAAGACAATTGGGCGCCCGAGAGGTAGGCTAGGCCATCGCAACCGAGGGGTAAATAACTCCCCCGATAAGCTCCTCACTCAACCAATTTCGAACTATCAATTCAAACCAATTCAATTTCATTCAAAACAATTCAGAGAAAATTCACACGAATCCAAAAAACAATTCAATCAATTCAGTCCAATTCAACCCGATTCACACTCAATTCAAGCAAATTCAAGTCAATTCACACCAATTTAGTAAAAATGAAATTGCAATACTTTAAACCAATTCAGAAACGCTTCAATTAATTCTGGCCAATTCAAATTAAATTCAAGCCAACTCAAACTCATTTCAAGAGTTAATTGCCCCTTGGTGACACACACACACACACCGCCTGAAAGTATAGGCAATCATGAGTATCCCGGTCGAGGCGAACTCGAGGGAACCTATGATATTTTTATACCGCACCGTACAAAAGTCATGCGGTAAATGGCAAGAGGAAAGGGTGGGTGGGGGCATCAAATTCGCACCCGCCCCCGAAAAATAATATTAAAATAATATAAAATCGGCGCCTGTACTCACCTCCTTGACCTTGTCCCGCTTCTGCCTGACGAGCGGGTCGGGGTCCTCGCCGCCCGTGGTGCGCGGGCACGAGTCCTCGCACTCGCGGGGCGGCACGGTGACCACCCTGCGGGGGGCGCCGCCGCCGTGGGCCGGCGCGGGGGAGGCGCCCTCCGGGAAGGCCGGCGACGGGCGCAGGCCGGCGGGCCCGGCGCTCGAGCCGACCCCGGGCCGCGCCACGGCCATCTCGGGCCGCTCCAGGACCTGCAAACAGAGGCGGTTACAGGCTTACAGGTGTGCGGTGTGCGGTGGGCTAATGACGGTTGTTGTTTGTGCACTTCGTGCCAGTCTGCTGTTCGTCGTGCACGACACATTTTCCCACGTGCGTGCATCGGCCTAGACGTCTACCAGGTATTTTTTTTTTTTTTTGTACAGTTAGGACGAGGAAGAGACCGTATCGATCATACCGTTGTCTATAAATACTGAGGAGCGCCCAAAATAAGGTATTCCGGAGAACTGGAAAAGAAGAACAGCACGAATAACAAAGGGGCCTGTGATTCGTCGCTCAAGTGGAGGGGGAGACCGGGCGACGAATCACGGGCCACCTTGTTATTCGTGCTGTTCTTCTTTACCCGTTCTCCGGAATACCTTATTGCTCTTGTGACAAATGAAGGGTTTGAATTGATCATGTATCTTGACGCATGGAGAGGGCCCCTCAATGATACTCTGGGACTCTATGGGGCACATTCCTAGAGGTAATCTTGATGACACAAAATTATAGAGCTAAAGTCAACATTGACCTACTGCAATACACATTAGTCATAAACCTATTCCATACATCTAAAAAGTCAGGGTCACCAGGTTAAATTCAATGATTATTTGTAATTCCCAGTCAGCTTTCACTCTGTCATTTCAGTCTGAATGTTTTAGTAGAGTATGGTCTGGCGGGTACATAGCATTTTGAATTGTTATACAGTGAATTTCCTTGTGTCAAATGGTTTACCATGAGCCGTTGATCTAAAACAATAGAGACGGACCAGCATACTGGATAAAATCTGTTATCAGATTATGTAACCTGCTAAATAATGAGGTTCACACCATGTAGTAAGGGCTCTGATCCTACTCAGTCACAGATAAAGATGTTAGAACAACTAAGAGATACGCAAACAATGTAGCCATCAAGGGGAAAACACGTGCACAGCTGTGTGAACAGAGGTCACATCATAGATATGAATGGAATATCTGGCAGGGTACAACGTTCCTACAATGACTTGGCTACTAGGCCACATACCTTTTGCCATCCCCATTTTGCCAAGGCCCTCGACAACAACAACAATGACACAAATTTTGCCAGCCAAATGTAAATCGTGTTTCCTGCAGGAATGATTGTACCACTGTTCCTTGTGTATGCGTTGGGCACACGACCGGATGTACGCCCCGTGAAAAAATGCAGTATAAACGCTTGATGCTTCCGTGTGTCGAAGCTAAGATTAGATCGCTGAAGTGGCTTTTGTGTTCGCCAGCAGCACCCAGTGCTTGACGGAGGGTGGGGGGGTCACATAACCTCTCTGGCACAGTTGTTTACGCTCGCGTCGCAGACGGCCGAGGTTGTCGTGTACCTTGGGGTTCTTGAGCCGCTCCATCTCGGCGTCCTCCTTCATCTTGGCGAGCAGCTTGGCCCGGTCGCCGGCCGAGTGCGGGTCCAGGTGCCTGGCGGAGGCCTCGGGGCCGCCGTCGTGACGGACGAGGCCCGGGTTCTCGAGGGCGGCCGCGGGCATCAGCAGGTCCGGCCCCGCCTTCTGGACGCTCTCCAGGACCTTGCCATAGACGCGGTGCGCGGGGCCGGCGCCGGAGTACTCGGGCAGGTAGAAGAAGGCCCCGAAGCAGACCAGCGCGAACGTCCCGAACACCAGCAGGATGAGGAACCTCTCCTTGGGGCGGAACGAGCGCCGCGTCACGGAGCCGAGGGCCCCCGGGGCGCCGTTGGCGTGCGCGAACCGCTGGTGGAACGACGGCAGCAGCGGGGCCGCGGCCGCGGCGGCCATGGCGAGACGGTGGTCAACAAGCACTGCCTGACGGTGGACCGCTGACAGAACACGGGCTGGACCTCGGCCTCGTCGCCATCACCGCTCGCCTCTCTCCCTCCCCACTCACTCTACTACTGCCTGCGCGAGCGAGAGCGCGGAGCGCGAGCACACAGCACACCGCGGGGCAACAGCACAACCTCCACCACCTCCGCCGCCACTCGGCCACTCTCTTTCTCTCTGTCCGCCTTTAGCGTCTTCCGGGACCTTTCTCTCTCCCCCTCTCTCTCTCTCCGCTCTTGTGGCTGCTGCTGCTGTGGCTACCGCCTCTTCGTCTCCCCCTTTCCTCCAGCCCTCTCTCTTCTTCTTCTGCTGCGCTCTCTCTTTCTCTTTCACTCGCTCGCCTTTTCCTTTTACTCGCGACAAAGCCAGGGCTGCCAACCTGCCAACGCCAACGGCCACAACTTAAAAGCGGAGTTCGGCATCGCCGGGAATCGATAAAATACTCCAAGCAGTCCATTAGTGTGCCGTGTCCAAACGCAAACGGTTCTGGGATAAAAGAATCCGTTTATTTTCCTGTTCAGCGCACTGCTGATAGGGATAAAAATCGTTAGTGTGCAAAATGATAAGCCGTTGCCAACACAAACAAACAACGCTGCAGGTTTACGTACACACACACGTACAGCAGACTTCAGTAACAGAGTTTAGAAAGAACGCTTGATAGGCACAAAAGACATACGCATCATTTGTAACTTAATATCGCGAAATTTGGAGACGATATTCCTTTCGCCACGAGTGGTACGACGTTGGCCATCCTGCTGCCACTGAGCGCGCAGTTTAATCATTATTATTTTGTACGGCGAAGAAGATGGTTGACGCATGACGATAAAACCAGCTGTAGATGCGATTATAACCGACGCCTTGAATCACGTCAAGTGGTGCAGAGAGGACAACAGATATAAATACACACACACGCACACACACACGCGCGCGTGCGGGGAAGGGCGATGCGAATAGATATAACGCCGTTGATCAATGACATGAAGGGGCAGCATGTGAATGGGGCTGCTGCTGCTGCTGCTGCTGATGTTGTATTTACCTGCACGGCGCACGGCGTCCCGGACGCGCTGAGCAGCAGGACGAGCAGGGCGAGCATCAGGCACCAGGCGGCGGCGGCGAGCGCTGCCCCGGCGCGCGCGACGGCGCGGGGGAGGAGCTGCATCCTGGCGGGAGAGGAGGGCCGGGAGGGCGGAGCGCGGGCGCGGACTTCCCTGATCGCGTCGGCGGCGGGCGGGAGGAGGACGTCGGCGGCGTCGTCGACGCGTAGCAGAACGCTCACGGGGGTGTACGACGTGTGCGCGGCGGTGCGGCCGGCCGCCGTGTGTTGTGTCTCCGCTTCCGACTCGTTCGCAGAAGCCCTCTCCCTCTCGCCAGCCCGGCCCCAGCAGCAGCTTTGCCTTGATAACGGCCCCATATGAGCCGACGACGCGTCGCGGTCAGCAGCTGCGATGTTTGATGTTATCTGCGCCAAACCCCTCTCCCTCGCCACCGGGGAACCCGGACGGTCGTCCGAGAATAGATATGTGTTACTATATTACCGCGTGTCTTTTGCAATATTTTGCAATAACCGGACCGGGGGTCCCGCCGTGTGCATTAGAGTGCAGCAGAGGCGCGCTAGCGCTACTGCCGTCAGCTGCTGCTGCTGCTGCCACGAGCTGCATACACGGAGCTTAATGACGGGTGAAGGCGCAAGCTTTTGGTGGAGGTAAACACTGTGTCTTGTTTGCTCACATCCACACACGGGGCACCCGGCCGGGCCGGGCCCGGGCGGGTACGGCGCGAGCCGTGGGCACCAGATGGGAAGCGTGTCAATACCACACGGTCAAAAAGAGAAAAAAAAAAAGTTGGTTAAAAAAAGGGGAAAATACACGTTTTGTGCAAAATCATTGTCCTTGACAGACGCCCCCACCGGCAAGCGAGCCTCGCAGCTGTTAATATTTTGACTAGGTACTGTTTCCAACAACAAAATGAAAACGACAGTTGTTTACATAGGGTGGCATGTTTTACTACAAAATCAAAATACCCGACACATCATATAAATTCATTATAAGTGCTGGCAATCCGAAGGCATTGTCAGTGTGAATAAAACATGATTTTCTTACAGTGGAATATTTACAAGAATGCATTTTTTTTTTCAACTACTGTATGG